ATTTTCAGCTCTAAAGTTAGTTATCGCAAAAACGTAAGTATAAGGCAATAGGCCACCGAGTTGTCTTTTGCCCCCGCGTTAAAACCAGTCTTCGTGTAAAACCATTCATATGAAAATGTGTTCCGCCTACAGGTTCATTTTCATGCAAATTCATTTTCATGCAAATTCATTTTCATTAGCAAGGTTTTCCACGAAGACTCGTTTTGAAACAGAGGCACCCGGTACCTCAGAAATGGCCTGTTGCCAGCTGATTGACCATAAATATAAAACCAATTATAGAATAGCGCTGTTCTCCTCGTCGATCGATCTCTTTGTTGCGGATAAAATTCCTATTTTTGTCAACGCGTTAGAGAACCTCCCAGGTTATGACGTCAGGATTCAAATTCCCATCACATGTCGGTCTACATTCAGCTCATGTATAATCAGTTGAAAGAATTTATCTACAATAAATATCCAAACAATTCCCAATCTCAGATGACTTTCTTAAAGGAGCTACGTCACGGGTTGCGCATTTTGAAAAGTTAATCCGTGTCAATCTTCTCCATCCTTAACCATCCTTGTTCCTGTATGGTTTATTATTATCTCTTTGGTGTTTTTCTATCCTAGTTAACTACTATTTTCAGGTTTCCTTCAATTTAAAGGTAATTTTGTACGTGGCCAAAATAACTCAAAATACTACACACATTACCAATCTGTGACTGAGAACCTTTAACTCTTGCATCCTCCTTACCTGTCTGAAGTGTCCATAATACTCTCGATACTTCAGTTCGTAAACCCATTCTTTTGGTACATCGTTATACGCCTTGTTGCCGACCTCAACATGACACAACAGACACTCAGGGGGGAACCCCTGCGGACGAACCCCCGCCTTGAAGAAGCCTTCACTGGACTGTTAATTGAAAAAGGACAATTTAGAGAAACCACGCGCAACGCAAGAGAAAAGCGCGATGAAAGCGTGTGGACAACCTTAAACTTTTTTACGATAACTGCTGAAATTCTCGCGCGCTCACTGGCTAATTTTCATTGCCAATAAGCCGACACACACATGAATTTATAATTTCTGCGATGCGTCAACGAGCGAGAGCGGACAATTTGACAATTTGTTATCGTAAAAACCATATTTGATGTCAGTTTTTCATGCGTCTGCCCTGTTATTGACAATGAATTTCGTCATAACATTGTCAAAGGAGTCTGCAGAAACTATTTTGACAATGCTATGACAAAATTCATCATCAATAACAGGACAGACGCATGAAAAACTGACATCAATTTGTTCAACAAATTTGTTCAGTATTGCATACAACTTGGGTTCAAAAACGAAACTGTGTAATGACGTTTCTTAGACCTGGAACCCTTAATATGTTTCTTTTTGATAGATTTGAAGTAGCAGCCTCACTATTTTGTCTTGGAGCGCATCACGTTTTTGGGCATTAACCTCTTCAAACCCTGAATATTACAACAAGTACATGACATTTTACAATGAAAAAGCACAGCTCTGTATCTGTAGCATTAGGAGCAAAACCTTGCCAACAATATTATTACAAGTTAAATTATTTATAATTATTATTATCAATTACAGCGGTGATCAAGTTGAAAATGTGTGCGTTCTTACGTGACAGAATGACAATATTGAATGTGTGATACATAATTAACAATTTTGCTA